CGCCCGCCCATCCCCGCGCCCATCGGCCCACCTATGTTGTAATAGTGCTCCCTGCGACGAATTGTGGGCGAGGGAAACATGGCAAATGTTGGATTGAATTCCAAATCGTGACATCACCAGCTATGATTGGGGCTCAAGGCCAGGGCCCTGATTTTGTTGACCAGCGTTTGACCGCGGGACGCCGCAAAGGACTCGTGCCGCTTGCCGGCGAGCACGCACACGGCCCCGCACACCACCTCTGCCGCGACACGCACCACTTCTCTGCACACACCCCTGCACACCCACCCCCGCGCGCCGCATGCAGCGCCGCCGCGCGCCCTCACCCATGCAGGCCGGGTCGGAACGAGGCCTGTGGCTGCAGCTCCCAGCCGGCCCCCGCGCCCGCACCCCCGCCCATGCTTGCAGGCCCTCCGAGCGGCACCGCTGCGGCCCGCGGCGAGTCCCCGGCCCGCTGGCGCGCCCGCTTCGCCTGCGGCGACGCCCCTGCGGCCCCGCCGTCCTCCCCAGCAGGCGAGGATGCCGCTGTCGCGGGCTGCGGCACCACTCGTCCTCCCAACATACCATCCTGCTGCCCCTCAACCTCAATGTCCACCACCATCCCCAACGGGCCCCCACCTGCCAGACAAATCTCAACCGCCGCACCCACGCCGCTCGCCCCAAACCCGCCGCGCGGCGCGTCCGTGCCCGTGTGGGCGGAGGATGCACCCGCGGCGATTGGAGCGCACGGATGGGCCTCCGCGGTGGCCTGCCGCGCCGCCGCAGATCTGAGGTCTGATCTGAGATCTGAGAAGTACTCGTGGCACATCGCCTCCTCGCAGCCGGGCCGCCTGGGATGCAGCAATCAGATACAGGAGAGTGTTGGGATCAGCCAGGGGAGAGTCTCTACCAATTACGTGCGCGGGATTTGCTGGTACATACTAGGCAGCCGCTTCCGCGGGCTTTGTTGGGGTTTGCGCCATGTTGGCACCCCTTAGGAGGCGAGCGCTGGCTGATTGGCAGGCAGCGCCAGCTCAGCTCTGCTCTGGCAGCGCCAGCTCACGCCAATCGAGGCGCCACAGCGCAGCAGGCTGACGCTACCACGCAGGTGCAGCCTGGTGCAGGTGCGGCTGGGAACAACGCAGCAAGCATCCCAATCCCCAACCCGATAACGCTCAGGCTCTCAATCGTGCGGCTCCTGAAAACCTCGAGAGCCTGGACTTGCAGACCCCTCAGGGGCAGCCCAGGGGGCACGTCAGCACCAGGCGCACCTGGCGGGGTCGAACGACAGTAGCCGCTGTAGCAGGTCCACAGCCACCTCCCCAGCCGCACCAAAGCGGCGGTACAGGGTGGGCGCCCTGGTCAGAGTTGGAGCGCGGGCGCGGGCGCAGGCGGGGCAGTGGGGCGCGCTCGGCGAGCGAGCATGCACGTGCGTGCGTGATAGACGCAAGCGGGGCAGACAGCGAGTGTGCAGCAAGGGCATGTTGGGTGCCGCAGGCGGCAGTCGCCAGGGGGCCCAGAGGGTGCGGCGGCGCTGGCCAGACGGCAGCCCGGGTTGCGCGGGGCTTGGGGGATCTAATTGCGAAGCCAGGATGGTCCGAATCGGGGCTTATGCAGTGAAATGATCCGATATGATCTGACACCACTTCTCGGTCGCCCAACCTCGGTCGTGCTCCAGCCCCAATACTCACTTTCCTGGCATCCTTCTGAGGTAGTTGCGCCAGGCCTTGGAGGGCACGCCCTCGATGCAGCTCCAGCTCGGGGTGCCTGCGGCGCACACGCGGGGCCGGGCGTGAGAGGCGGGAGTATTGCTTGACCGCGTGCGCCGCATCGCGTCCGGCGCCGCCGGCCCGATGCGCCGCCGTAGTTGCTCCTGCAACCTGAGTCGCAGAAAATCATACTGCCTACATGTACTAAACGATCAAATGTGCATGCCCTTACACAGATCGGCAGGTCTCCTCCCCCAAAACCGCTCCACCCCCTAGCAGCCTGCCGACGGCTGCGCAGGAGTACTACCCCATGCCGCCCGCAGTCACCCTTTGGGTGCGCACCGCCAAAGCCGCGACAGCCCACCCAAGGGCTGCAGGGACGCTTCCGTTTCCACCGGACGCTCACCCACGACAGCGAAGAGCGCCTGCAGCTCGTGGCGCATGACCGAGTTGCCGGCGCCGCCGTCCCTGCTGCTGTAGCGCTCCCCAGAGGTGGGCGTGGGCGGCATGCCGTGGAGCGCAAACACAGGGGCCACCTTGGCGTCGACCAGGGTTCGCAAATTGGGGTAAGAGTGTGCGCACCGTTTGCGGGGCCCAGAATGCATGATACATTTGCGGGAGCACTTAAAAACGCTGCCGAAGGAGTGGGGTATGGCTGGGTGGGCTGAGCGGGTGCAGCAGGGCTGCGCAATCGCCGCGCAAGCCGACACCGTGCGTCAGAGCTCAAAGGAAGTGCGATGCTGTGGCAGTTTTGCTGCTATTAAATGGGACGTCGGCAGGGCTCAGGGGTGGCACGAAATCTCGGGGCTCAGGGTACAGGGTTCAGGGTTCAGGGTTGAGGGCATCCCACCTGGAGGTGTGGCGTGCAGGCCTTGCCGACCCAGGGTACCCGCTGCAGCAGCTCCCCAAACACGCAGCCGGTGCCCCACACGTCGATGGCGGCAGTGTACACGCCGCGTGACATCACCACCTCGGGGGCCCTGCGGTGCATGTCAGGGGGGGGGGGGCAGACGGCGAGCGGGAGAGACTGGTCTGGTGGTCTGTGTCCGCCTGTTTGTGTGTGTGCGTAAGTGCTCTCATGTGTGTGTGTGTATGTGTGCTTGTATGTATGTGCACATGCTTGCGTGCGTGTGTGTGTGTGTGTGTGTGTGTGTGTGTGTGTGTGTGTGCGAGCGTGTGCGTGCGTGCGTGCGTGTGTGTGTGTGTGTGGACCTTGCACGCAATCAGCATGGCAGTGACGTGGAGGAGTGATGCAAACGCAGACGTGCAATGCCCATTCAGCAATAAGTGATCATGCATGCCACGAAATCAGCTGCGTGCAGGCACTGACACCAAGACAACCCCCAACAGGACGGGCGCCGGGCTTGCCTGTAGCAGGGCGTGCACACCATGCGCGTGAGGGGCGGCTGGAAGCCCGCACCGCCAGCGGGGACAGGCCTGGGATGCAGGACAGGAGAGGGCGGCAACAGCACGAGCAGCGTGGGTCACGCGGCGAGGCAGACTGAGGCCGCGTCTGGGAATGCCGTAAATCACTGAGCAGCGGAGGCCGCCTCCTGAAGACTCCCAGAAATAACTTTTTGAACATCAGGGCTGATCAACCTCCAGAGCCCCCACACGCAGGCAGTCACGAAACATGAGATCTTATAATTTGATCTTGAGGGGAAATTGTTTCACACCTTGCAAACAGGTCGCCGCTGGTGCTGATTTCCCTGTCGCCCTCCACCATGAAGCTGTCGCTGTGCTTCATATGCGCTTCCTCCATGCACATGACCGAGCCACGCCCGCTGCCCGCGCCGCGAGCGCCGCCGATCGTGACTGCCGCCAGAGCCGAGGCCGCCGCGGCGGTGTCTGCCGCTGCGCCGCCGCCCGGGGCCATGGCCGCCGAACCCCCGGGCGGTTCCGGGGCCAAAGCGCTGGCGCCGCTGGCGCCGGCGGCGCGGGGCGACGTGCAGCTGGCGCCGAGGGCGGCGGAGCGGGCGCTGCCCAGGTCTGCGATCTTGACCAGCCTGCGGCGGGGTTTGACCGGCGAGCAGCTGGAAAAGCGGAGGACGACGGCGTCGTTGTGAAGGAGGCAAAAGCACAGCGCATGACAACCCCTTTTTCCTCCCCAATCCAATACATCCCTTGCACGAAGGCTTTTCGAAGTGCGCCTCCTACCCCGTCCCTGAGCGGAGCGTTTGACACGCATGCGAATGCCCTGTGCCCCCATCCCACATGGCTGTTGTCCACGCGTGCCCCCGCCCCCACCCCACCTGGCGCCATCGCAGAACGTCACCAGTATGTTGGCCGTCTTCACGTCGCGGTGCCACACCCCATTGTCATGCAGGTACTGCAGGGCCTGCCCGATCGCAATGGGGTCACCCACAGGGACGGCACGGGTAACGCCGGGTGATGCAGTGCCGACTCCGGCGGAACAGGTCTCAGGGCTCGGCACAGCCGTCGAAAAATTCTCAATGACAAGTCGATGGTCAACCCTGAGCCGCGCGTGCGTTGGGGATTCGTTTATTGACGGCACGGATTGCAAATGCCTGTTCACCTGCAGCAGCTGGAACATGATGCTCTTAACCTCGGACTCGCTGATCTGGCCCCTCACGTGGAAGAGGTCGCCCTGGGAATAGGCGGTTGATTACGTGCGCAGGTTCAGAGGCCTGTTGCTCTGTGAGCCTGTATGAAATGAAAGCATCAAGGCCGATCAATGCAATGCGGCGGCCGGCCGATGTATGCACCGGCCGCAAAACCATAGGTGCACCCGTACCCCGTCCCCACGCGTCATCGGTGACTGTCCACGACTAGTCACCCGCCTGGTCGCAGTACTCCAGGGCGAGGTACAGGTCGAGTGACGTCGGCACCAGCTGGCCGTTGCGGTACACGCAGCGCCCTGCGGAGGGTGCGGTCGAGAGGAGCCGTGTGGACGGGCTGGTGCAGTGCAGCCAGCGTGCATGCTGTTGGCATGCAGGAAGCAAGCTGTCGATGTGTGTCAAGATACAGCGATCTGGCGCACTGGGGTGCTGCCACAGCGATCTGGCGCACTGGGGTGCTGCCACACTGTTGGCAATCATGACACGTGCGCTGCCACAGGCGTGTGTCACGCTTCCAGCCTCCCCCGCTCACGCCGGCGGCACCCAGGGCAGCTCTGCGCGTGCAGCGAACGGCCGTGTCGCATGCCAAGCCGCGCTCCCACCAGTGGAGGCGGGCCTGAGGAAGACGTCCCTTAGGGCGATGATGCCAGGGTGGTCCATGCGCCGCAGTATACACACCTGCGCAGCCAAGTAGTGCAGGATCGGTTGCCCTGTTGGGCCGGGGGTTGGCGTTCGCCTCAACACAGGGGCCGCTACCACCCAGAACACACGCTCGTCCGAGCCTCAGAATGGCAGGCAGGGGCTGGCGCGCACGCACCAGGCGGGGGGCGCGCCTCAAGGGCCGCCGCGCGTAGCGCGTGCATCCGCGCAGGCGCCCTGCACTGCGTCCCTCGCCCCTCGCTTCGCAAGCGGCGCAGCTGCCCCGGCCAGATCGGCTCATGAATGCCGGACCCGCCCCGGCCGCCGCACCTCCCTAAGGACGCGTTTTGCATTTTCGAGGCTGGTGAGGACGTCAGGGATGCGCTTCAGAGCCACTGGCTGCGCGCATACGGCAGACGGGAGGGCGCGTGGGTGGGCGGGAGCTGACTGCCGGGTGGGGCTCCCGCTTCGTCCTCTGCACGGCCCACGGACGGGCGGCCCGGCTGTCGCATTTGCACCCTCCAGCCATCCGCGCCTGCTTTTACTGCGACTGCTGCAGCACAGTGACCCCCCCCCCCCGCTCAACAGGCAAGCTGCCAGCTCTGCCACGCACCGAGCAGGCAGCGGCTAGCCGTCCCTCATCTGCCCTCCTCAAACGGCAGCTGCCGCGCGCCTACCTCCTGCGTGTCGTTGTCGACTGCCATGCAGACCTGGGAGAAGCTGCCCTCTCCCAGTAGCTTCATCAGAGTGTAGCGGGCCCCGACCTGCGAGAGGGAGGGCAGGGGTTGGTGCAGGCCCCTGGGGGGCCGGGCGCGTTTGAGACGTGCGCATGCGCCGCCGGCGCCAGCCTCGTGTGTGTGGTTGCTTGGGCAGCAGAGGCAGGTGGGCGCCGCAGAAAGAGGGGTATGCTGGAGGCCATGGCATGTGTTGATCTCACCGCCCACGTCTGCCCGTTAATGTAATAGACTCCGGGCTCGCAAGGGCTGGCGCGGATGGCCGCGCCACCGCCAGCATGCTGCTGCGCCATCTCCGCTGCGCAGCAGGCACGGCGATGAGCTGCAACTGGGCAATGGAGCAAGCCGTGTGGGTTCAAAGACAATGTAGAAGATCTACTGGTGTTTCATTTGTTGTGGCGGGCTGGGGGCCTGCATACGCTCACGTACGCGGTCCGGAAGATATTGCCGGGGGAAAATCGGTCATGTATGTGCTGCATAGGGCTCGGAAAACTTTACAATCGCATTTTTGATATGAATGAGTGCCAGTGGAACCGCGGCCGTACACAGCTCCGCTGGCTGTCTGTGGAGCGCTGTCAACTCATCAAGCTGGGCCACCGCTGACAGAGGCACAAGGGGGTCGCGCATCCTTGCACAGAGAGCCCCGGAGGTAAGATCTCTGCATTTGTTGATTTATCGTTGCGCATCGTCGACCTACTCCTGTTGCACGCTGCAAAGGTCCTCAACGCTCGGTTTGCAGCAGGTTGGCTGCCAGAGCTTGTCAGTGCGGCCGGATGCAGCCAGGACGGGCGATGCTTTTCTGGATGAAAGCTGCTGATATCAGCTGCACCACAGATCAGCCAATGCCTATCTTTCTTTCGTGCAGAAGGCAGTAAGTTTACAACAGCCACACGCTTGTGACACTGCTCCCACAGCGCGGGTGCTGATAGGGCCCATGCGCTGATGCCTGTTACCGTGCATGTTCTGCTGCCAGGTGACGCCATAGCAGCGTTCTGGGCAGTGCCTTGTACATCATACCGCAGCGATAATAGCAATGTCAGCATGAACACTATTGAATGTTGGTGTGCGAGAGTCAGACGATTGCTGGGCGGTTGTCTGTGACCAGGTCAAAGCAGCAATACCGTAATGCAGCATGGCTGCTTCGCAAGCTGCATGGGGTTGAGCGCTCGCAAAACTGCCATCTACATGATGTCAATTGGTTTGGGCTCCGATCACATGACCGAATCTTTCCAGGCATGGGGTCGCCATGCGTGCATGCGTTGCATTTGCAAGCAGTGTGCGTGTGCACCTCCAGCAGGGTCACCAGTGTTTGGCGCCTGGGCTGGGCCATCAAGACGGCCGTATCTATACAGCTACGCAATAAAGACATCCTTGCAAGTCAACATGCCCCAACTGCATGGCATTGACGCCCCTTGCCACGTAGCCCGGCAACTGCCAAGATCAATCCAGCCCGAAACCATAAATGCACGAGCCAGCATCATCACACGCCATATTAAATGTATGTTGATTTGATTCCCATACCTTCCGACTCCTTTGTGCCGTCCTGTCACTCGCCTCACAAGATCATTTGCGAATCCGAGACCAACCGGCAAGCAAGTACACGCGTCCTGCCACGTGCTCGAGAGCCACAGGCCTGCAGTAGCAATGCTCTCCATCCGCGGCAGCTCTGTCCAGCCCCCGCGCAGCGCTGGCCGCGCGTCTGCGGCTCGGCGCGTGCTGGCCCCCTTGCGGGCGGCCAACGGCGGCATAGGGGAGGCGCTCAACTCGGTCGCCAACGCCTTCGTGAAGATCTTCTCTCCCCCTCAGGATGATGTGAGCTTTTGCCGTGCCGCCACTCTCGCGATTGCCTTGTCAGCTGCAGTGGCGCAAACCTGTTGACGTGGCGGCTGCATCTCCCAACACACCCCTCCGCACTCGCGGGGACACCTTGCCTCCCACGCTCAAGTCTGCAACAAATGTCTGGAGTCTCAAAAATGCCATTCCCTCCTGCTGATCCCATCATGGGCACCAACCTTGCAGGCCCCCAACGGCAACTGGGAGGGCACCACGTCCAACTTCAGCGGTCGCATCCGCCACCACGGCCCCGGCCGCCCCTTCAAGGACGGATTCTCGGGCCCCAAGGCCGCCGCGGCCCCGGGCGCCGAAGCTGCTCCTGCAGCCACCGCCCCCGCTGCCGAGGAGGCCGGTAACGAGGTGAGCCTCACACACTCCAACTTCTTGTTTTGCCTGCCCCCTTGTGTGGCACGCTTTTGGGGCTGAGTTGGGTCTGCCAACCTGTGACTCTTGGCATGCTTGAAAGCTACGATGCTTTGACACCTGCCTTGGCTCCGTTTCGCGCTCCTGCTCGCGCTCGCACATCATACAACACCCCTGTCACGCTCACTCGGCATCCATCGCCCCTGGCCTGCAGCCCCAGGCTGCGGGCTACGTGGAGGGCGCCGTGAAGAGCGTCATGGACAAGAACTTTGCCGGCAAGGATGACAAACGTGTGAGCAGGGATGCCCGAACCCCTTGTGACAGCTGGGTGCCGGTGCGCGTGTGTCAGCCGTCCCCGCATCACCGCAGGCAGGGGGCTGTGCGTTGCATCAACGACTCTCAAATTTTGCTGTGCCTCGAGGCCTTGCCAGTCTCGCCATGTGGCACCTCACCGAAGCGCCCTCCCTCCAGTGGGGGGTGAACGTCGTTGGGCGCACCGCTGCGGGCTCTGCCACTGGCCCGTCACGGGAAGACGGTCTATACCGCAGCATTCAACAGCCACAACTGCATCCGTTTTGCGACCGCAATGATCGTGCCCCAGCTGGGGACCGGCGCAGAGGGCTGGAAGGGCGACCTGCATGGCCGCAAGCGCGACGGGTGAGGGGGCACTATTTGCCGCATCTGGCATACGCGCAACTGGGGCAAGCGCTGGGACCCGCGAGACGTGGAGGGGTTGGGAGGGCAAGCAGGGGAGGGGCACCTCAGGGTTAATGGTGAGCAGGGCATGGTGAGCCGGGCAGGGCAAGCAGGTTCGTCATTGGTGGTTTTGATTTATGATACTGTGATTACAAGCCCCTGATTTGAATTTCCAACATGCCACTTTGGGCTGTGTCTCCACGGCTGGCAGCTGAGGTCACCCCTGATGCCCTCAATCCCCTGCGCAGGTTCCACATCCCCCGCTCTTGAATGGCGGTGGCGGGTGATTGAGAAAGGCCAGAATCAGCAGCAAACTGCGGCTGCATCAATGCGGCAGGTCCCGCTTTTGCACCCAGGCGGCTGCACCAGTGACCGTGCCAGCCTAAGATGTGCGCTTCACGCTCACAGCGGCCTGGCGTCAAGATCGTGTTAATGTCAGTGTTCCCACACAGTTATCACAGCTGGTTTGCTGCATGTTCTGTGTTGTTACCCCTGGAAACGGGCGAGGCGTTTGGCGAGGCGCTGGCTGCGCATGATCGCATTCACGCGTGCTTTCATTGAAGGCGGCTGCTGCCACAACCGTCAGCTTTTGGCTGCTTTCTCCATTTGCAGGTGCCGCTGTGAGGCTGCACTCACCTGTGCATGCATGACACATACATCATCACAAGTGAGAGGGAGTGGTGAGACACCAAGCACCCAGTAACACGGTCACAGACAGATTACATCATCCAGGAAACCATTTCATCTCTGTTTCTCTCATCTATGAGAGCATCACAATACACCACATTTCACCAAGGGGGTAAGCAAGCAGCTTCCTAGGACAGCATACTTTCATCAGCAGACAGGCAGAGATCTGGACATATATAATGCAAGAGGACCCATGACAATGCATTCGCGATGGACGCAATACCCCTTTGCCCAGGGTCATGCACGCGGCGATGTGCCCCGTCCCGCCGAGCTCTGCCCGGCACTGGCAGCCGCTGCGAGCGGCGGGCTTATGAGGACCGGCCGGCCTCCGGCACTGTGAGGGCGCACTGCAGGTCAGGCACTCCCGATCCAGCCACCTGCGTGCCAGGCCGATGGCATGGGGAGGGGTTGCAGCACAGATGTGCAGCAGGGTGACCATCCCCACTGTCAAACACGCAAGTTGACAGTCAACACCAAGCATGCCAAAAACAAGCGTCTTGTCCCCTCCTGTCCCCACCCCACCTCCTCCAGAATGCGGTGAGTCTCTCGCCACACAGCCGCGCGCAGTGACTCGTCATGAGCCTGCAACATGTGCAGGGAGGTGCGCCCATGGCAGCAAGGGAAATGCGAGATGGGCGTGTCGGTCACGTCAGTGAGGAGGGGATCCGCCCATCAACCAATGCCTTCAAGCTTCAACCAAGACCTGTCGTGCGCACAGCATGCACTTGCACAAAATTGCTTCTGAGTGGACCACATCTCAAACTTGCCACCTTACATAAGCCCACCTGTGGGTTCCAGGCGGGGCCGGATGCGGTGTGGAAGAAGAAGGGCAGGCTGAACAGGGGGTAGGGCGCCCCAAAGTAGGGCGCACCCACACGCTTGCTGGTGAGCCCCTTGCCGGTGAGGCTGGGGTCTGTGGCCGCAAACTGCGGGCATCGGAGGGGAGTGTAGTGGTTTGCACATGTTTGTGCCGCTTGAGTGTGTATCAAGGCATTTGCAGAGGTGCAAGTTCAAGCATTTTTCACAGTATGATCAGGAACAACAATACATAAATGTACAGAACACAAGGAGGATTGTAAGGCGCACTGTTGTTGGGGCGTCGAAGCGGCCCACGAGACAACCCAGAAGACACATCTGAGCGCACAGCCTGTCGTCAATTTCAGCCGTGGCAGTAGCACTGCACGTTTGCCAGCAGCTCCCGCCGCGCATGCAGCAGGCACACGGACTGCCTGTGGTGTTTGCTGCGCACGCTCATGCCGGCGACAAACCGCCGTACCAGCGTGGAGCGGCAGCCAAAGTAGGGGTGCAGCGCAATGACGCGCGCCGCGTAGTAGGCGGGGATGCCCAGGGGGTAGCGGAAGTCCACCTTGACAACGATAGGCATGGGGTCAGTCATGCAGTCATGAGGGCAAGGGTGCGAACACACCCTTACTTATTGAGGGCAGGCGCTGCTGTCCCCACACTGCCCAGCTGAGAAGTCTGCATGCGTGAGCGATGGGCAAGCAGCGGGAAGGCCGGTTATAGGGGGCTACAATGTGCGGCGGCAGCACCTGCGCAGTCGACGCAGGACTAGGTGGCGCCCCGCACCTTGTTCATGAGCCCACTGGCAACATAGCTGTGCATATGTGGGCGGTGGACGCCAAGCGAGTTGCATAGAGATGGGGGAGCGCGTGGTGGGTCAGTATTGTCGGCTGGCAAGGAGCCAGCCCAGCAGGGCGCGGCAGACATCATGTGATTCCACAAAGGCCAGCACCAGGTATCCCTCCCTATGTCCAAGAATACACAGCCTCAAAGGCAACTCAAGCATGGGTACGGGCTTGGTCAAGGGAGGAAGGCGTGTTGGCTCACCCGGGCTGCGTGGCAAAGACGTCGACCTGCGCTCCCGCGCGGCGCAGGCGGACCTGCAGCTCCGACAGCCAGACGTATGCCAGCAGCTTGCTGCGCGAGTGCGTGCGGCAGGCGAGCGCGTGTGCAGGCGCCGGGTCACAGATAACAGCACGCTGGGGGGGGCAGCGCGGGAACACAGCAGAGATTGCATGCTACAAAGCAAAGGTGAGTGTGAGAAAACAGCAGTGGGTGGACGTCCAGGCGGTGGCACGATTGTGTGTGAGGTGGGTGGCATTGTTACTAGATCCCCGTAGTTGCCTGCCTGTTTGTACGCAGAAATTCCCAGTGGGGCAAGGCAGTGGCCCGGCAAAGTTCTGGCAGGGGGCTCGTCATGATCATCAGCGCATGAGGTGCATGGGTGTGGTGAGTGCGCCTCGCAGCGCCCATCCACCCACCTGTCGCAGTAGGTGATCAGGCCGCTGCTGCCCTCCTCAGCGCCTCGCAGGTCATGCATCCTCACTCGCCCCAGGATCTCCCCAAAGGACACCTGTCAAGGTTTGCAGCATCATTCGGGCACGCGCAGGTGTCTGATACGACGGTGAGCCGACTCACTCATGCAAATAACCACCAGCCAATTGCGGGCACGCGCGACGGCTCGGTGAAAAAAATTGCGGCCGGGGCCAGGCCAGGCTTTTGGCGAGGTTGTGCGAGCCATCTCAGTCAGGCAGAGAACCACAGATGAACGCACAACAGCATAATCACAACACAATGTAACCCAGCAAATGGTGCCCAAAGCACGTGCGCACCACTTGGACGATGCGCGAGGGCCCGGCCTCAATGATGCGGCACAGAAGCAGGAGGGTCAGGTAGGCGTGGCCCCAGAAGTTGACCGCGTGGGTCTGCGCAGCAGCATTTCAGCCACAAGGAGCGCGCAGATGATGGTGCGGTCAGGCCGGAGGATTTCGCCGCAAAGCACGCCTGGCAGAAACACAAACTTCGTTGCATATGCTGGAAAATCCTCAGCCTGCTCGTCTGGCTGCTCCTATTTGCTGGGGCCTGCTGCACCTCCATGCGCATGCACATGCACTACATCAACAAACATGGCTCTTGATGAACTCCCGAGCGCGCAGAGCCGTTGTGTGCAGCGGTGACGCAGTGGTGACACAGTTGGTTGCAAAGCCAAGGCGGGCAACTCCGGTCAGCCCCCCCCTCCCCACGAGAGTGAACTCCACCTGTTCAAACCCGTCCTCTGTCAGCTGGAAGGGTGCGTCCAGGAAGCGGCCGGCGTTGTTAACCAGCAGGTCAAGGGGGCGGCCCATGGCCAGGATCTGGGGGGGGCGGGATTGTGCACATGCGCAAGTGGTTACAGAGGGGGCACATGCAGAGGGGGATGTGTAGTGAGGGGTTGAGCGCAAGCATCTGCAAGGCTGATCAGAGGGCGTCGCAACGCGCGGTAAACTTACTCGCAAGTGCGCTCTTGAGGAGTGCCAAGCCTGCGCCTGAAACAGCCACGAGTGGCCAGCTCAGCAGACTCGCTGGCAGTTGCGGCCAGCTGGCTGGCTGGCGTCAAGGGGTGCGCCGTGCGTAAGCTGACTCGCACTCACCCTGTCGGCAAAGGCGCGGATGCTCTTCATCGACTCAAGGTTGCAGACCCTGCCGTGTGGAGGGAATGTTGGGGCGGTCGTCAAATGCTATCAGATGGTGAGAAAATATAACAGCTAAAAATCAGTGCAAGGGCAACGGTCCCAGGCAACCGCTTCTTTGGATACCAGCAGGTGAGCGTGTAGGTGGCTGTGGGTGTTGGCAGCAGGCAGCCCAGGGGCAGCTGCCCAGAACAAGAAATCAATTCGAGCCTGGACACACAGCAGCGGCAGCAGCGGCAGCAGCCGCAGCAGCAGCAGCAGCAGCAGCGGCGGCAGCAGCAGCAGCAGCAGCAGTAGCAGCAGTAGCAGCAGTCACAGCAGCAGAATGTGCAGGTGCGCAGGACACCCGGGCGCATATGGGTTTCCAGGCCTGGGCCGAGCAGCTCACATGTAGCTGACATGTTTGGCAGCAGCAGGGTCCTCCTTCCACAGGGACTCTATCGCCGTCTGCATGCGGCCCTTGTCCCGCGACGCGATGATCACCTGCATCATGCACACAGCGCGTGAATTTAGCCGGCAGGTTGCAATTCACCCTCAGTCCCACCCCGAATTGCTGCGCCAGAGGCAGCATGGTGAATCGCAAGCGTTGGGCGCCAGCTTGCTGCGCACGCCAGGCCGACTGCACTAACATGAGCCTGCGCGGCCGCAGTAAATCTTCGCAGGATGGCAGCCGCCGGTTGCGCGCAGCACCACTGCGACGTGCGTGCCGGCATCGACATCGCCGCACATATTTCCCCATTACGCACAGTGGCATTGTTCTTGGCCAGTGTCTTGACCACCTGCCATCCGATGCCGCTGTTGCCGCCTGGGATTGAGTCGAGTATGGCGCTTGGACTGACTCGCAGCTGCGTGCCTGCAGGCTTCCCAGTCGCTGAGGCAGCCGCAGCCTCGCTGTGTTCCCTTGCCACAAGCACACGCCCGGCCGATGACATCACGCTGACATCCCCATACCCATCCTTTGGGAAAGCGTGCCCAGAGCAAGCGCTGAACACTCACCAGTCACGATGGCCAGCTTGCCAGTCATGTCAGGGACATGGAAGAAGCCAATGCTGCGCGCCACCCAATCCATTGTTGCTCACTGCTGCAGTCAAGGCCTGCGCATGTGGCAGTGGCAGCGTTACAGTCTGCTTTTGTCGGGTCATGCCGTCTACTGATGTATTTATAAGCGGGTTCGACTACTTGCCTTTTTTTCGCGAACGTACCCGCTTGTGATACGTGCTTTCAGATCTGGGTACACGATGATTGTGCAATCCTGGATGCCCTATTAGGTCGTCACGTTTTGATGCGCGATGCTGCTGGTACAACTTAATTTCTAAGCAGGTCACCGTGTTTGTGCTCCGGCACCTTGAGGTTTTGACCCCCCTTGGCGGCCGTGACGCAACCCAGCAACTGTGTGTGTGTGCCGCTGCATTTGTCTGACAGGGACGCAGGGAGCATGCCGTGGTACACAAAATCTCTTGAGGCGCAGCCTCGGCACTTGCTGTTGAAAGCAGCTGTGGAGATTTGTTCATTATCAAACTTTATACTGATGTTTTTTTTTTTTTTTCAATAGTTTCGTGTGAATTGTGTAGCTGTTGCGTTGCAGGGTATGACAATAGGCAAGATTTCAGATTAAATCCTAATAGAGAGTATCATTGCGATGACAGCCACACAATCAAGGCACCGTGCTGAATTTTGACCACTGCATCCGCCGTTCATGACTGCATCGTACCAGCGCCTTGCAACTCTTTGTACATGATATTGGACGTGGTGTGAAACTCAAGATTGCCCACGACAGCGTTGGGCTTTCAATCCACTGGCAAGAGGCCTTTTGGGAGGATTACATGAATCACTGACAAGAGGCTGTTTGGGAGGATTATCATAATGCTCATCACTTGTAACTAGCTGCAATGAGAAGGGGCAGTGCACGCCACCGCAACGTCATAACACCACATCATCACCCGGTGCTCTAAGCTTCTTCTGTACCGTATACACCATGACGATGCACACACCATGTGGCCAAGCAAGCAGTGATGACCCCACCATCACACTAAAACCATTCATGTACAACTGCAACAGCAAATGTTCCAGCCCGTGGCAAGACACGCTCCACACCTGCCAAGAATCTGCTTGATTCACTCGCAAAAAAGTGCCTTGAGTTCAGCCCCAGCCGCAGGGTCAAGCCTACAATGACGTGGGCCAGACCGCCGAATCGCTGAAGCGCTGCACCTGCAGAAGCTCCGTCAAGCATGCACTAGCCCTGCATTTACAATGAGCGACCTGCCGTCTGGGGCGCTGTGAGGGTAAGGTTGATGTCCGGCAGTCCAGGTCCGGCGGTCTGCGGCGCAAAACAAGAGAGCGTGCGGCGGCATTAGATGGGAGCCAGCCAGCTAGATATGCCTTGAACCAGCTGCGGGTAAATGCCAGACTAGTTGATCGTTTGACGATCGACCCACAAGCTGAACACGTCGTTGCATCATGCACTTGCTACCCCCTCCCCCTCACACCACAGACAGCGTGTAACAACCGCATGGCATGGTGACAAACATGCAATGTGAATAATTGAATATGTAACCCACCACACCCCTTGCACCCCTCCATGCACACAAAAACATTGCTTGATCCCTGCTACCCTCCCCCCACCTCCTCCAAGATGCGGTGAGCCTCTTCCCACACAGCCACCCGCAGCGACTCGTTGTGTGCCTGAAGGATGGAGAGCGACACGAGGACTGGTTAGTGGATCTGTCCACCAGCCCTAGGCACACCCTCTCTTCCTTTGATTAATTCCCTCAGGTTATCCAGAACACGCCCCCACACACCTGATAATGTTAACATCCAACCCATGGCGTGCAAAGTACATAAGTGGTGTGCCATCACTTCCCACATATGCACAAGCAACTGGTTAAGTAAAGACGACACCAAAAATTGCGCACCTGGGAGTTCCAGGCCGGGCCGGACGCAGTGTGGAAGAAGAAGGGCAGGCTGAACAGGGGGTAGGGCGCCCCAAAGTAGGGCGCGCCGACGCCCCTGCTGTTGACGCCCTTACCAGTAAGGCTCGGGTCTGTGGCGGCAAACTGCAGGCATGTGTGATTGACATGCATTTTTGCCACCGTTTGAGGGGTGAGAATCCATGTCGTTGGTGCTCACTCCAGTCTCCTTACCTTGCAGATTCCAGCACCCTTGGTGGAACTCCTTGTGAGCATCATATCTGCAGCGCTAACTCTGCACAGGCTGTGTCACCAGCCAGCTGAGCAGGACTTGAGAAGTTGACTGCCCAAGCCGCAGGCAGGCAGGCCTCAAAGTGGGGATGCCTTCCACCACTCACCAGGGTGGAGCGGCAGCCGTACTTGGGGGACAGCGCAAAAAGCTTGGCCGCGTAGTGCGCAGGGACTGACAGGGGGTAGCGGAAGTCCACCTGTATGGGTGGGGGTTGGGGCAGAGGAGAGGCGCATCGTGAGTGCGTTGGACGCGCGTGTGAGCCGGAAGGGGTACGGACGGCCCCAACTCCGAGTTCGCGCGTCCTTGACTGGTGGAGTCGGCCCGGCTGCGCAGCTGGTGTGCAAGCAAGCCAGGGCTTGAGCACAGGAGGTTGGTGGCGTGCAGTGTATCCCCCTTGCGCGTTGTCAATTGCGCCGCTGTCGCACCTTGTCCATGAGGCGGCTGTTGACCCAACTGCAATCAGAGTCAGGTGGAGGCCAGGTTGCCAAGGTGACATTGTTGAGTAGCCAGCGGCTGACACTATCAGTCATCAACAGCTTAGCACAGCACGGATTGGGTTGGCAGAGAGCGCATGCAAGTGCAAACGCAAGAAGACTGCAGGGATGAGGCATGCCGCACATCAAGTACCGTTTTGGGGACAAATTTACTCACAATGCGAGCGATGGAAGGGACAGTGCCGATATTCCCATTGATATGGTAGACATTCATGCATACGGACTCACCCGGGCTGCGTGCCGAAGCAGTCTACCTGAGCTCCCGCGCGGCGCAGGCGAACCTGCAGCTCAGACAGCCAGATGTAGGCCAGCAGCTTGCTGCACCGCGGCGGGTGGATTGTTGTGGGGGGTGGGATGCGGCGAGTTGAGGGCTGGCAGAAAAAAGCATCTAGTTGCTCACATCAGCGATGAAACAATAGCAATGAAAATCCATTCAGAACAGACAGCCTGCCAACTGTTGGGAGTGTGCATCCAGCGCACCCCCCCCCCAAAACGTGGCAACAGTGCATCACACATGCATCCAACACGTCTTCACTGGCCCCCACCAATCACCTGTCGCAGTAAGATGGGAAGCCGCTCTGGCCCTCCCTCGCGCCCCGCAGGTCGTGCATCCTGACCCGCCCCAGAATCTCCCCAAACGACACCTGCGGGTTGCAAAGGCAAGCGTGATCAGCTTTGAACCCTGACACGCGCCTGCGTGCTGGTGGTCAAGAAATGGGAGCACCCACTCGATGGTATAGCTGAAGGATGCCACCTGTGTGGTCACAGACGGCAAACAAATCGAGCACTCGGCTTACAGCAGTCACTCCCCCATGGCCCTTCAAACAGCCCCGCCGCATGCATGCGCGCGCACCACTTGGACGATGCGTGAGGGCCCGGCTTCCACGATGCGGTTGAGAAGCAGGAGGGTCAGGTAGGCGTGGCCCCAGAAGTTGACCGCGTGGGTCTGGGGGCGATGGGGCAAAAACGATACAATTGATGGTCACCAACGCGCAGGCGGTGCAAGAGGAGCAGAGCAGCACATCGATGAGTAGCGTGGGTTTGGTGGCAATCGCACCTGCCACGTTGTGTCAGAATCAAGTGCTCGCAGTCATAAACGTGTCAGCATGGGCATACGCTAGCTAGCTGCAATCAATGCAGCTTTGCGCTTTCCATCCCCCAGCAACACAGCCCGCCAGCTGCTGCCGAAGCCGCGGCAGGCAGAAGCTGTCGCCACGCAGCTGGGTGCCTAGCAGCAGGGCTGCTGCACACCCTCGCCTTCCCTGCACCTCTGCCAGTGCACGGCACTTCCAGTAGCCAACCCACCGCAATGCCAACCCTTGAGCCACATGCCCAGCCTTCTGCCGGGCCTACCCCCGCGGCCCCCCCACACCTGTTCAAACCCGTCCTCTGTCAGCTGGAAGGGTGCGTCCAGGAAGCGGCCAGCATTGTTGACCAGCAGGTCCAAGGGGCGGTCCAGGGCCAGCACCTGGGAGCAACAGTCGCGTACGCGTGTGTGCGCCACATGGATGGGGCCATGCAGGATTGACCATCACAGGCAGGTGTTTTTCCTTTCGCTACTGGAAAAGCGTGATGTAATCCCCTCGCTACTGGAAAGCGTGATGTAATGTAACGTGATGTAATGTAATGTACAGGCAGATTTGCATGCATACAGCAGAAACGTGAGGTTGGTTTTGTGCACGGGGCGTTGAATCAGCATCCCGTCACCTGGTCGGCGCAGGACTTGATGCTCCTCATGGACTCCAGGTTGCACACACTGCATGCGAATGGGGGATGCACGGGTGTGTGCAGGTGCGTGTGTGCGCAGGAGAGATGAGATCGTGCGGTGGTGAAGTAAGACAGCAGGCACTGAGCATGGAAACATGGAAGCCAGCCTCGCTTGCTGGCGCACAGTCAGCACCACTCACACATTTAAATTCATCGCTGAGCTCGCGTGTAGATGAGGGCAGGGCAGATACAGCATGCACACAAGGGGTGCAACCACTGGACAGTGGTTTGCTCAGTAGGGACACCCAGGGGCGGGGTGGATGCGCATGCCCCAAATGCACCCGGCAGGTGGAGCGATGCGGCTCACATGGGGCGGATGTTCTTGGCGGCCGTGGCGCTCTCCTTCCTGATGGCATCGACAGCGGCCTGCATGCGGCCCTCGTCACGCGACGCGATGATCACCTACAGGACAGCGCATGTAGGTGACGACGCATCAGCAAACGGGAACAGCGGTGGGCAACACAAGGCGGCCAGCCCAGTGTTCCGGGCTCGGTCCTGGGGGGGCACGGGCGGGCAAGGGTTTGCATGGCATGCGCGCGACGCGGCTGCGTGGCTGCATTCAATACAAGCAAAGTGGCTGCCGGCAGCAGGCAAGTGGCACAGCCAGAAGCACCAGGCACAAGCTCAAGCCTGGCTTCTTTCAACGAGTGCCGGCGGTCACCCACTGTCGCATTGCGCTTTGCCAGGGTCTTGGCCACCTCTGCGCCGATGCCGCTGTTGCCGCCTGAGGGTCAGCGGCACACACACACCATGAGGTCAAATCCAAGTCGCTTCCCAGAGTTGGCTAGCATAGAGGGCGCAGCGCGCACGTGCCCACTGCCGCGAGCAGGGTGACGTCAGCGGCGGCCCCCGACCGCCACAATCGCGCGCGCCCAGTCAATTGCGGCCCCTGCACGGCCTGGCCCGCTCACCCGTGACAACCGCCAGCTTTCCGCTCATGTCGGGGACCTGGAAGAACCCGATGCCTCGCGCCAGGGACGCCATTTTTGTTGCTGTGTGCAGATGTGCGCGCGCAGCGGCGATGGTACCGAAGGCTAGCTTATGAGACTTTGTAGAAGTATGCTCATCTGTAGATCAAGGCACGTATTTTCCGAACAAAAGCCGATAGAGCGAGGTGCGTGCGATCCCCTGTCACGGGTGTGACAATCGTGTGGGCCACCGTGTCTTGCATCTGCTGTTGTGAGACTAGAAATCCCGATAAAATTGTTTGGCGTCTTGAATCTGTCAAGATGACCCCGTAGACTCCGGCCCTGACGCAATCACGCGTCGCTGGCTCCGTCCGTCCGTCCCGGGTCACTGCATGCAGCGCGAGCGGCCACCTGACACAGCCTGTTCAGATCAACAGTAGCCTGGATGTGTGGAAGATCATAACATCAGCATTCGAAAGCGACAGCGAGAATGGAGAGGGAATGCTGAGGCCGCGTCCAGACCCGCGCCCAGGCCCGCGCGTGCGCCTGCCGGTCCGCGCTGGGGTCAAGCTAGCGTGGGTCAGGCAATGTGAGGCGATCAGCAAGCTGTACATACTCCCAACACGAAAATCACACCTGGCCGTTCCGCTAGCGCGGCAATCGCACCTGTCCCCTGAGCACCACACTGGAGCCTTCCTCACCGCAGTGCGTCTTCACACGCTGAACCAATTGCAGGCTGCGCCGTTGTGCTGGGCAGATTGAATGCCATTTGCAATGAAATGTTTATGCTAAAGTACAAACTGCTATCTCGCGCATCTCATCGCCCCACAGCTGGGGCTGCCGGGACAGTCAACGTCTGTGCTTTGACCGCCTTGTCCCCAACTTTTCATTAAATGAAATCATGTTGGTTGAAGCCCAAGGCCTTGCATCTCCCGCACATTTTCTGTTGTTTCTTTATGTCGACCCTTGAATGTTTAAAAACTCAGCATCGAGCCATTGGCTCCTGCACCTGTAGTGACCCCCCTCACATGCGGTAGTGATCCTGCAATCCATGGTGCTGCAGGCGGACTAGGGCAAAACTGAATGATTTTCTTAACTATATATACGTCCAAATCCAGAGGCACATACGTCCTTTAGTCGCAAGGAATCGTTGTCACCGAGTGAGGCAGCACCAGCAACAGGATCGCATGCAAACGCATCCAGTGTTATCAAAGCACGTTTTTGTGACCGCTGCCGTCTGCTGCAGTTGACAACTGCTCGGAACTATTCTCAAAACTTGTTGATTGATCTGCAGCAGCTGTCGAACGCTAGCATGGAGCCTTTAGCTTGGGCGCAGGAGCTCAGGCACCGCGCTTCTAATCTTGAGAAGCAGCTGCGCCAGCACTTCAGTAGCTTAGGCGGCGTCGCGGCGGCCGCGGCGGGCGCAGGACAGCAGCGCCGCGACGCCTGGCACCTGCACCAACTGCAGCGCCTGCCAGGCCTACATGCGGGCGCTGCCCTTTCGGCCTCGTACTTGGGTGGTCATGACGGACGGACAGGTGGCAGCGTCAGCCGCGCCCGCGGGCCGCCGCGGCAGGTGTCGTTCGGTCCGCCGCCGCTGCTGTGCTCTCTGACCC